GCATACATGTACACTAAATTACTGTATGTACAGATTAGGACGTTCAAATTAAGGCAAAATTTAACTCGCAGACCAATAGACTGACAAGTTGGAAGAGTTCACCTGTTGAGACCAAAAGTAGCCAGTCCCTCGACTGACTACTTCTTATTAGTAGCCAGTCCAGACAGGTTCTTGTGAGTCCAGGAAAAAATGAAATATCGGAGTAGATCTAACATTCAGTTTTTACATACTTATCCTGTATTTATTAACAAGCATTATGACAGTATAAAGACATTTCAAAATAAATCATCATTAACACTTTCTGCTGGTTTTCTCAAAATTTCATCATTAGACACTGGAGATGAGCTACCTGTTTTGTTAAATATCGGCCATATACCAATAATGAAATTGAAAAGATCACCAGAAACTTTAAAAATTAAAGTCTACCTCATTCTAAGCGATCTGAAACTCAATTTCTGTAAGTTTTTTTTGCAATTTACAGCTGACAATGAGTTGTATTTCAGTCATATTCAAGGGGATGGATAAAAGGACAACCGGACCAAAGATTGGAGCATGGTTTGTTGAGTATTTTTACCTCGAGACTTGAACTGACAGTCTGCCAGTCCTGGTCAGCCCAGGGCATGAGAAGACAGATTTGTCCCATGGTCCGACACATAAGGAAAGCACTGTCTACATGTTATTTTGTTATAATAGAGAGCTTTCAATATAAGTTTTCAGCCAAACTTATACCTCAACTTTAACTTTTAAATGACATAAACATAACTGGGGAGGAAAGTACATTTCATTTGAAATTTTTGCTCATTTCTTCATCAAATTGATTTGGAAATATCCCAGCAATAGCAGAATAAATTTCTAAATTGTAATCATAATGAAACCGGAACTCACGAACTCCATACTTGCCAAATATTTTGAATGATGAAAGCACCCTTCATTTCCAGAGTTCCTCCCCAGTGCTATTATACCTGACTTTTACAAGTATAAGTTTGTGTATATATACAAGGTTTATTCATGTATATCGAAAGTGCTCTATCATTATGATTTGCACGTATAAATCTGTTTTCAAGATTACCAGATAACTACTAGATATTAGTGCACACAATATTATATGCAACAAAAAAGCCTGCCTTTTTTAATACATCAAACTTTATTACACTTTGCAATTTGATAGCTACCAAAAGTCCCAGGATATTTTATTTGAACGCAGTATCTACTCTTCTGGGACCCTGTGTTATTCTTCTGACATCAAATTTGCTTGCCAGTTTTTCAAATTCTGTTAGGAGTTTCCCAGAGGGGTTTTGCAATATAATTTCATTTTGCCCCATTGGGATTGATTTCGATTTGAGTGGAATTCTATATCCCTAAGGGATCCAGTTCCATTTCAGTTAAATCCTTTGAGTCATGCATGATTTATGTGTAGGGCTTCACCATCCCATAGTGACCATCAAACTGGATGAGTAATTGCTAAGCTCCCTTATTATTGAATATTCCAGTTTCTCATGTTTATCCATGGTCCTCAATGAGAATGACAACCTTTTAAAAGATATTACCTCTTGTATGTAAGGAATGAGTTTGTTCAGATCTAACATGTATTAAGTGTCACTTCAGAGCTAACAGCAGTTAACTCTGAACTGACATGACATGATTTGTATTAATTGAGTATATCACGAAAAATTACAACTCCTAACAGCCAGTGCAACCATCAAATAGTTTAAATGCAGAATACCTTATTCTCTCTAATAAATGCATAGTGCAGCTTCCAAATTCCCCTGGAGGAGATATCTCAAATGACAAAATCTCATGGATTTTTTAAATATGAAAATATAGGCGACTAGATAACATGATCATACCCCAGTGTTTTCCTCATGCATTTATTGACAGACTGAATGAGTTTTTGTGGGTTAATAGACATATATGTGTCAATATCAATGAAAACATTCACTCCAATCCTTCCGGCATGGCTGCCATTATGGAAATTGATACCCAACATATACAAAGTATAATCAATTCCTTAAGACTGGGTGTTATATTGTTTGTCGAACTAGCTGTGAAACATTATCTCCATTTCAGTAAGTTAAAGATGCATTATATATAGGTTTCTCCCCCAGACAATCAATGATGTCCTATTGTTATTGCTCATATAATATCTCACATACCATGAATATATCTTGAGAATAACTTTTGGGTATATTATTGCCGAAATATTGAAATAATCAACAGAACAACCAAACGCCAGAATTAAACACAATCTATTCCTCGGCTGGCAAGGGGAATCCCCATTGAGTCACACAAGCGCCCACAAGCGCCTTGACCAAGGCAGCCAATCAGGTTCATGATAAACAAATTCAACGACCAATTAGATAACAGGAGGACTTTCCCGGTATATTCAAACTTTAGATTGAATTAATTTCTTCGAAAATTATTAGATCAGTCAGCACAATCGCAAAATTAACACTGAAAGAGGGGTATTTGGGACTTTTTTTAGATGGGTGAATATGTGGTGAAACTCAATATGCAAAAAAGTCCAGAGGGGTCTTGATTGTGATATCTTATGGCATAGAGCCTCTTTAAGGTCATCATTATGTCACCACCAAAAAAGTGGTGACATATTGTTATGGTCTCCATTTTTTTACGCCGGTTGGCGATCGGCGGTTGGCGATCGGCGTCTGTAACAAATTCTTACAACTTCCAATATCTTAACAAATACTGTTTAGACTGACTACCTTTTTTTTTCAAAATCATCTGCATGTTTCCAGAAGTTCAAATCTGCCTTTATAATCCCCACGAACAAAGTTCAGTAGGGATATAGTGAAGCCCTCTGTCTGTCCGTTCGTCCATCAGTCCGTCTGTCAGTCCGTCAGTCAGTCAATTTTTTAAGATGGCCGCGTCGGAATTTGTTGCAAAAGTCTTCTGTTTTTCATTTTAAACAAAAATATTAAATATTATTATTTGAAATTTTGGTAGTATTTACAAGATCTATCTATTTCACATATTATTTTTTGATCTCTTAAAGTATGGCTATATTATGCTCAAATTGAAGGAATTTCAGAGTAGATCACAAGTATGGTATTGTTTTTCTGATTTCTGCCTCAGAAAATTTTGATTTATATAGTGTTCGTTGGGATTTGCTACTCCGTGGAGTTGCCGTTTTCTAGTTATTTAAGATTTGACCCTTTTCAAGGTAAAAAAGGTCAAAAAGGTATTTTTTAATCTTGGCTTCAAATTGACCAATTTTTTTTTGAACTCATCAACAAGTTATCAGAAGTTCAAATCTGACTTTAGATTTGAGATTTGACCTTCAATGACCTTCTCAAGGTCAATAAAGGCCAAAAAGGTCTTCCCAACTTGCTTCAAATTGACCAATTCTTTTTTCAAAATCATCTACAAGTTATCAGAAGTTCAAATCTGACTTTAGATTTGAGATTTGACCTTCAATGACCTTCTCAAGGTCAAAAAGGTCTTTTCAGCTTACTTCAATTTGATCAATTTTTTTTCAAAATCATCTACAAGTTATCAGAAGTTCAAATCTGACTTTAGATTTGAGATTTGACCTTCAATGACCTTCTCAAGGTCAAAAGGGTCTTTTTTCAACTTGCTTCAAATCTACCAATTCCTTTTTTAAAATCATCTACAAGTTATCAGAAGTTCAAATTTGACTTTAGATTTGAGATTTGACCTTCAATGACCTTCTCAAGGTCAAGAAGGGTCAAAAAGGTATTTTCTCAACTTGCTTCAAATTGACCAATCTTTTTTTCAAAATCATCTACAAGTTCTCAGCAGTTCAAATCTGACTATAGATTTGACCTTCAATGACATTCTCAAGGTCAAAAAAGATTTGACCTTTAATGACATTCTCAAGGTCAAAAAGGTCTTTTTTCATCTTGCTTCAAATTGACAAATTTTTTTCAAAATCATCTACAAGTTCTCAGCAGTTCAAATCTGACTATAGATTTGACCTTCAATGAAATTCTCAAGGTCAAAAAAGATTTGACCTTTAATGACATTCTCAAGGTCAAAAAGGTCTTTTTACAACTTGCCTCAAATTGACCAATTTATTTTTTCAAAATCATTTACAAGTTCTAAGAAATTCAAATCTGAAGATTGAACTCATAATATTGTGAGCAACAAGGTGGTGACATTTTGTCATGTTAATGCCTTGTTATTACTGAAATGATCAGTTATATTCAGTTGTGATATATACAAATCCAGTGCGATGGAATGATCACTTGGGAGGGGTGCTGATAGGCATGATTTTAAAGTCTGTTTATGTTCAAGGTTCAAAATGGCCAATATTAATGGTAAAAAGCAGTACATAAAATTGGTAATGCATATACAGTAAAACCTGTCTAATCCGAACACCCATGGGACCAGCCAAAAGCGTTCAAATTGGCAGGTGTTCAAATTTCGAGGATTTTGTTGGTCAGGGGGGGGGGATTTTCATTGTTCAGTCCACTATATTGAACACTTAATACTTAGTCAGAAAACAATGCATGTTGTTGATGAGTTAATTCTACAATAGGCCTATAGCCTATATACTATGTTTTATTTATATTTTGAACAATTTCATCATTTTAGTAAAAATAACTCTTACATTTTGGAAAAAACTTTGTAATACACTGTAAAAGTATATGATAGTCTCGTACAAAATCGCACTGCTTTGCTTTTGCTTGAAAAAGTCCTTCAATGTTGTTTGTTTCTTGGCACTTTTAGCATTAGCAATATTTGAGTAGATATCCTCTTCAAGTAAAAATAATTTTCTATGAGTGTTCATTCGAGATGATGTATAATCCTTCAAAATATCAAGGGCATTCAGGATGTCAGATGTATGCCTTTTTAGGAGACATTATAGTGATAGGATATTACGAAGTTGACTTTTTTTTCTCTTTCTCGCACTAATACATTTTCAGCATTATTCTTGATTAGATAGGGTCATTTACATTTTTGTCTTGTAAGTCATCATGGGCCTGCTGGTCATTTCAATGTTCTCTCTTTATGTTTTTCAGGTGAAGAGGAAGGGGAAAGTGGAGACCCCATGATGCCACCTGATATTGATTGTGATGTGACTCCTCCTGTGCTAGAGATGGAAGATGTCACAGTTCAATCAGGTATGGTAACTGTCTCTTTGAGTGGGAATGATCCTTATTATGTCCAAATAAATAGTGTGGAGCCATTTATAGACCAGAGGGCCATCATATAAATATATAAATTTGTCCAATGAAAATAATAATATCCCAACTCACATTTTTATCCTACTGAACGAAGTTCGAGGGGGATACAGTCTACGATTTCGTTTTCAGCTCATACTTGCCAAGAGTGACTATTAAAAATTATTAGTTCTCGCCATATGAAATTTGTACTAGTCCTGTTTTGGGCAGGAAATGACACATAAATTAAACAGGAGACACAACATATAAAACTGCTATTCAATCAGCTCGGTTCAAAAGATATAAGCTAAAAAATCAGAAGTGTTGATCATTTCATTTGATCTGGCTCCCGGGAGTCCCGGGGCTAGCTCCCGCCATCCCGGGGCTGGCTTTTTAATTTCCCTTTAAAATTAATTTGAATTGAAAATAATACCTCAAAAGGATCTTTATGGGACAAATTACTGAAATATTACTGAAAGAATCAAAGACATGTGGTTAAATTATGCAATGAAAATATGTCTCTGATGTAATGGAATCATACATAACCTGGGGGCCACCTTCCCCCAGGTTTTTGAACTCCTGCCAGGGGGGGGGGGGAGATTTCCCAAAGATGACCTTTCATATTAGCACGATTGAAAACAAATTTTATAAACAGACCTCAATTTGCTGTTGAAATGAATCTCCAAATGTTCACTGTAGTTTTATGAGTATTCTCTACAAGTATGGATCGAGTAACTTCAATAGTATTACCGTAGGTTTGAAATGATGATGTTGAAGTGCTGTTAACGCCATTCCCACGATTTCAAATTCAACTCTGCGCATGGGCAGCACTGAGAGAGCACGTGCTCATGATTGTTCACGTGATCGAATCTTGCAATTTGATTGGAGATGATGCAAGAGATGATGTAATGGGGAATCCCCTAATACGATAGAATATGAAAGAATTATGGGAGCTACTCACTCCTCCTGAACTCCCGCCATCAAACTTAGGACACAAAGGGCAATCTGCAACAGGTTCGTTTTTAATTTCAGATCTTCATGCTTGCGCAAAAGAAAAGTTTGACAATACTTTTCAAGTGCGCTTGCATATTTTGAATCTGAACCAATCAAGAGAGAGAAACTGGCGCAGATTGCCTGCGTAGCAATGACTCCCAGAGGGGGTCTAATAACTGAAGCATTGAATTGAACCGACCCGCGTAATGTAAAAAAATTATGAAAACAAATCGGGAGTTCGAGTCACGAATGGGTGGTTTATTTCGTTCAATGGTTGGGATATTTCAAGTTATTGATACTATATAGTCGCCACAATAATGGTATTTTGTTCAGACACGCGTGGCAAGTTGTTTTAGCTCATTTTCGCCTCAGTAGTTTCATTTCCGCATTTGGCGAGGTACGACAGACGAAATCGTAGACTGGGATATATAGGAAAGCAGTCCGTTCGTTCGTCCGTCCATCCCTTTGAATGGGCGATAACTTAAATACTGGTAGACGGATTTGATTAAATCTTATAGGCTGATGCCTTATGGCGATAGAAGCTCTGTTCGAAAAGGAATTTTCATTATGGCTGCTAATTTAAAATGGCGGCCGTTTTTCGTTAAAAATGTAACCTTTGATTACTCAAATACTAATTGACGGATTTGGTTCAAATTGTATATGCTGATGCCTAGGGACAAAGGAGCTATGCGGAGGAAGAGATTTTCAAGATGGCTACTGAATTTCAAAATATCGACCATTTTTCGTAAAAAAGTGTAATCTTTGATAACTCAAATACCAGTGAATGGTATGGTGAAATATGTTTTGTTTGGTGGGATTTGCTACTCTGTGGAGTTGCTATTTTTTTCTAGTTATGAAACTAATAAATCAATTTTTGAAAGTTTAGACATCTGTAACTTCAATAGTATTACCACCATCTGTCATGTATGAAAATACTAGTCTCGGTCCGGAGAATGAAGTTCATCAGTCTACTTTACATTACTCCTGCTTTGGACAATTTTGATATTTATACACCTCTCTTAATAGGATTCCCGTTTTAAGTTATTTTTGTTCAACATCAATATAGAAAACCCCCCTATGACTCCTGGACAAAATGGTCGCCATTTTTGTCTCACAAAATTCACTTTGGCCCATTTCCTAGCTTTACAAATAATTTTCGGTGTCCTGCATTGTAAAAAGCCATATCACTGTAAAGAGTAGTTTTATGAAATAATTTTGTTGCAAAAAATCTGCTAAAAATTATATCCGTTTTTTTTTCTCAGCCATTTTAGTTAACATTGATTTGTCCATCTGCCACTCAGTCAGTCCACAATAGTGGCACATTTTAAACCTCTGTCGGTTGGATTCCCCTTTGAAGTTATTTTTGTTCAACATTAATACAGAAAACCTGTCTCCTTGTTCAATAGCTTGACTATTGCCCAGTTTCAAAATATCTGTCAAATAGGATTCCTGTTATTTTTGTTCAACATCTCAATATAGAAAACCTCCCTATGACTCCTGGTTCAAAATCTTCCCTATTTTCAAAATGGTCGCCATTTTTGTCTCGCGAAAGTCACTTTTGGACCATTTGCTTTAAAACCTGTGTTGATAGGATTCCCGTTTTAAGTTATATTTGTTCAACATCAATACAGAAAACTTCCCAAAAGCTCACCTATTTTCAAAATGGTTGCCATTTTTGTCTTGCGAAATTCACTTTTAGCCCATTTCCTCCTAGCTTTACAAATAATTTCAGGTGTCCTGCATTGTACAATGCCATGTCACTGTAAAGAGTAGCTGTATGAAATAATTTTGTTACAAAAAATCAGCAAAAAATTTTATCTGTTTTTTTAGCCATTTTTTTAACATTGATTTGTCCATACATGTATGTCTCACAAAATCCACTTTTGGACCATTGGCCTTAACACCTCTGTTTAAAGGATTCCGGTTTTAAGTTGTCTTTGTTCAAAATCAATACAGAAAACTCCCCTATAACTACTGGCTCAAAAGATCGCCTAATTTCAAAATGGTCGCCATTTTTGTCGTGCGAAATTCACTTTTGGCCCATTTCCTAGCTTTACAAATTATTTCAGGTGTCCTGCATTGTAAAAAGCCATGTCACTCTAAAGAGTAGTTGTATGAAATTATTTTGTTACAAAAATCTGCAAAACTTACATCCTTTTTTTTTATTTTCTGCCATTTTAGCCATCATTCACTTTTGAGCAACATCATGTGAGCCCAGTACCCACGGTACTATTTATTGTTTCATGAAATCCCCTTGTGGACCATTTGCTTTTAAACCTCTGTAGATAGGATTTCTGTTTTAAGGTATTTTTGTTCAACATCAATACAGAAACCCCCCTATGACTCCTGGTTCAAAAGCTCACCTATTTTTTTTTTCAAAATGGCCGACACTTTTGTTTCACAAAATTCACTTTTGGATCATTTGGTAGCTTTATTAATACAATATTTTTCATCCTGTGCTTTGCTGGGCATTCTGGGTAAATTTTAAGGTGGCCATTTTGGATTTTTCATCCTAAAATCTTGTCTATCGACATCTGTCTACAGGTTTCCAGCTATCTGAAATTTTTAGTGATGTTTTTACGATAGTTTACAACTTTTTGGGCAGTCTGGGTAAATGATAGGGTGGCCATTTTGGATTCTGTTTACCCTGTTTCTTGTTATGTAATAAAACTTGTTGGAAAGGGAATTTAATGTGCTAAATATCTATAACAGAGCAATAATGATCATTCATCCTCCTAAGCAAGTGTCCAGAATCCGTACCTCCTTTCCCCCTGCTATAAATTTGGAAGCGCCCGATAAAACGGCATCACGTGATCTAATTATGCGCCAATGACGTATACATGATTGTTGTTGCAATGTTGCGACAGCGAATCCAATTTGCGAGTTCTTAATTGGGGAAATGCTAACTGCTTATCGTGGGGGTAAAAAGAATTCTGTATTTTGAAGCCCTGTGATCGGAGGATGTGATCATTTTGCATTTTTCATTTTTCTACAGTATTAGAAACAAGGTAACCATTAATTATTTCTGAATTCGATTTTTATATCACCACCAAAAAGTTATGACATATTGTTATGGTCTCCATTTTTTGTGACGGCGGATGGCGGTTGGTAGTTGGCGATTGGCGATCAGCGTTTGTAACATTTTTTACAACTTTTAACTCAATAACTTGACAAATACTGCTTAGACTGCTGACTTCAATTTTTTCAAAATCATCTACAAGTTTTCAGAAGTTCATATCTGACCCTAGAATTAAGATTTGACCTTTCAAGGTCAAAAAAGGTTAAAAAGTTGTTTTTTTCAACTCGACCAATATCTTTTCAAAATCATCTATACTATAAGTTTTCAAAAGTGCAAATCTTAATATAGATTTGACCTTCTTTTTGACCTTCAATGACCTTCTCAAGGTCAAAAAAGTATTTTTTCAACTTGCTTCAAATTGACCAATTTTTTTTCAAAATCATCTTCAAGTTCTCAGAAGTTCAAATCTGGCTTTAGATTTGAAATTTCACCTTCAATGATCTTCTAAGGGTCAAAAAAGGTCATAAAGGTCCTTCTTAGGGTCATAAAACTTGTTTCAAACTGACCATTGTTTTCAAAATCATCTCCAGAGTTCTCAGAAATTCAAATCTGACTTTAGTTTGAACTCATAATAATATTTTGGTGGTGACATTTTGTCATGTTAATGCCTTGTTGAAATTGGAATCAACTTCCATGCTATCATAACTTTGCCCATCTACCCCCAATCAACTTGATTTGTATGCCAAAAATTCATTTATCTGTGGCTCAAGCAAGAAAAATAACAATGCCACAAAAAATCGGCAAAAAGTATTTTTTAAACGGTAGTTGGTGTGTCAATTTGACTCCTCCCACTGCATACAAAAAGTTTAAAAAAATTGTGAAGAACTGTGAAAAAACACAAAGGGCAACATGAAGAGCTAAAAAGAAAATTATATTTTTGTAAAATATT